GTGTTTTGTATTAGAACCATATTTAAAATATAGTTTCCACTAAAGGTTTTGTGATATTTTGCACTTGTAATGTCTGAAAGTTTTTTAATCTGTCGCAGCAGACATATATACTTATCACCCTTGGGCACTCCACTCCACACAAGTGTCACATACAATGTCCTTTACAACCCTTCCTTCCCGATACAGCGAGAACAAATGATAATAAAACTTTCTTTTCAATAAACATGTACGACTTTCTATATCCCAGTGATTCAAAACAGATTTTTGTAATTTCTAACATAAGAAAAATCCCTAAAAATGTCACAAGTCTGAAGGATGTTTGGAGTGGGAGATAGTGGCTGTCATTTTGTCATGTGTCGAAGACTTTACAAATAATTGAGACTACTTGAAACATAAAAAAGTGCAGACCTAAGCAAATATTGGCAGGAATTCAAACTGTTCAGTAAATGCTTTGTGTCAGTAAATTAACTCCTCAAATGAAATGTCACTAACCAGAGAATTACTCCAAGTCTGCTAAGTGGTTTGATTGGCTGGGATAGAGAGGCTGTTACCTACTGTGCTATACATACAGGGCAACAAAACATGTCATTACTGAGGAAATCTTCAAATTTCCTATACATGGAGGGGTTTGTTTGGGAGGTCTTACCACACAAAGTTTAATGTTAATATGTAAACTGGCCAGTTTTAAACAGCTGTTGTACTAACATTTTTTGGGGAAGGAAGTACTCTAGTACCTCCCTCCCTTAGATCAAAAATTTTGCCTGCATCCCAAACATCAGGAAGACCCCTATAGCCCCAAGTTGTTGACATCAAACTCCATAACCTCACCCAACAGCTAGCCTCAGATTGACAGCTACGAATCCAGGCAGAACTACCAATTAAGGTGCAGAAAATTTGAGAGGCATGACAGTCAAAGGTCAAAACATGGGAGAGGATATCGGGAGAATCTATGTAAAAGTGTAAAACACTGTTCCTTTACAAGCCAGGTCAAATTTAATTTAATTCAAATTTTATGCCCCACATCAAAGTTCCATAAAAGCAAGAAACACAGATGGGTCATAGTTTGTAGGTCATATTATCATCATATTGTTGGGGTAGGGGAAACAACTTCAAAGGGAGTGGGTGATGAGACATTGTTTTTGAGCTGGTTACAAGTGACAGAAGGCTAGGCTAGATGACAGGCCAGCCGAGTGCACAGTATTCATTAGAAATGATGTATGGGGCTGATGGAAACCCAATACACCCCCACAACTTTATAGCAAAATGATATTATGCAAAAAAAAATGTATGATGGTGTCCCCTAGTAATTAATTCACAGAAGCAAGTCTGTATTTTATGGTTGTTTATTGTCTAAAGTTGTGTGTGAAGCTGGTTTTAATGGTAAAATAACACTAGACCTGTTACTACAAGATACACAATCCTTCCTTGGGCTTTCGCTCTCCAGAATAAATTATCTTCCTCAAATCTCGGTCTCAACGTGGAGCATGGAAAAGTCTTTGAACTCTCCATTATTAGCACAACTTACAAGGACGTAAACTCAGAAATATAAACAAAATCAACATTTTGTTAACATTACAAGTTCTATTTAAAGAAATTGAAAAATGTAAGGAAGTCCTTTAAGTTAAACACAAAATTACAAAACGTTTAACAACTTTGGCCGAAAAAAATCTATAATAAACTAGAGTCAATTTCAGGTATAAACAGTGGAGTTAAATTTAGGTGTAAACCAATTTCTGTCTAGATAAATCTATTTTCGTCTCCTCACTTCCTGCAGCAAACTAGGATTACCTATAGCATTTAAGAGATAGAAAACATGGTCCGTTCCTCCTCTCCAACTGGTGAAGAATGCCAGTTATGTATACCTATCGGTGCCTGACTGGGTGGTCACTCTCATTTGACCTTAGTCTTACTTAAATGACCTTGGCCCATCAAAATTGATTGTTCCGTTTCATAAAAATTCATGGATTCAAATATCAAACAGGTAGCACGGCCCTGTTTTGCATAATTATCGGAACACTGGTACATTTCTAGGTGAAGGTTGACGATGATGGACAATAGAATATGTAAGCACACTCGTATCAACACCTGGCTGGCTTCCTGTCAACTTAGAGGTAACACTCTATTGTTTTTTATTAACTATCAGGTACCACTGTCATACGACTATCACATACCACTGTTATCACCTTATTTACCAAAGGGCGTATAGTCATTACGTATGAGAATTATAGAATCAATACACTCAGAATTATCAGTCACAATAACTCTAAACATTCCAAACCGGACTAAGAATCACGGGGTAGCCATTAGTGTAAAGTGTTATACACTGTTTCTACATTACCTTATGTTGTATTGGAAAGATTCTCTCTAAGTACAACACATGTTAGACAGCTCGGTAATCTAAAATCAATATCCTTAATTTCAAAATAATTCTGAATCAATGAAGATAATTTCATCAAAATTCAACAACACATGGTTGAAATTTCTTTCAATATCTGTAACTTAATAGGGATTGTTTTCCTCCACAAGACTATCAGGGACCTTTACACAGGGAGATTAATCCTCCAATCGATAGGTCGATACAACCATCAATTCTCGTCAGGGCGTACCTGTGGCCAAGGAGCCAGCTCACAACTGAGACCGATTTAGTACCTGTAGAAGGCATTAATTAATCATTGTTATCTGTGGCCCACTGCCCCTCTAGTGGGCCACTCATTAGAGGCCAGAGGTGCTCATTATCAACACCTCAGCCGTCCTTATCTGATATAGAGGGCAGCACCCAGATACTCCCGCAGCTGATAACACCTTATGTGACAGTTACACAAAATATATTTTCATTCTACATCTTTTCCCCTCTTATCTTATCTCGGTATCATGTGGAAATAATTATTAATGGAAAACCGTCTCGATTTATGGTGTCATGGAAACAAGCAGCCGCATGCACTTTGCGTATCACTGTGTTATAACCTCTAACATGGCAGTCTTAATTTTTCTCAAAGCTTTAATTTCAAATCAGGAATAATTATCTTAAAACAATGTTTCTCTTTAAACCTGCTTTCATAATACATGTATTAGTGTCTTTATCATATCAGCGAGTTTCAGACTTGAACAGACATGCGTTCATCTTTCTGAGGATTTTCATGATGTTCCTATGTACCAGAGTTAGATAAAGCTTACACATATTCTTCCTGTGATAAGTAAAGGGATCTTAGGGAGTTCAATGTAGGTGGTGGTCCTAGGAGTGAGCTTAATAGAGCACCGTATTGGAGTTTTCAACAAAACCTGTCTTCCAAGTACATGTTATTTCAGCAGTCTGTCAAACTTCAAACTCAGCAAGCAAAAGAACCCAAGGTGTCTCTGGATGGCTGAGTTCCATCTTAAATTCTTACATATTCAAACAAACAATAGCGGTAACAAAAATACACAAACTTCTGTGTAACGTCTTAATCAGCGGATGCCAACATTTCTATTCTCAAGTGTCAAACAAGCTTGCCACAGTTTCCATAGAGATACAAATAGACCCCTGTGTTGCTTATAAAAATATGAGATTGTTCTGTGTGGTTTATTCCTAGGTTAAACTATTTATTTTCTATTTATCTACAGAAATCCATGAATCCAACTTTCTCATAATGCACTGGTTTGTTCATCTATGAAACATAAACGAAATAGCTTCCTTTATGGATTTTTATTCAGTTTTGAGAATTTCATTTCCAATTTTATCATGATGTATGATTGCATTATTTCCACATCATCAGCCCCTTACAGTCAGTAATAAAGAGCCAACTTTCTAGCAATTCTCTAACTTTTCCTTTATCTCAACCTGTAATTTCTATCTGAATGGTCAAGGTTATTTTTATTCAAACTATTGATGAGTATCCATAATTTCAATGGCCATTTCTTTTCCTCCTAATTTTTTACCCACCTCTTCCGAAACATAAACTAGTACCCCTTCCCCACTTACAACCTATAGACTTACACACATACCACAATAACACTGTCTGGGCCTTAATAGGGATACTGGGAAATTCCCCTTCCCCACTCACAGCCCAGACAACACACACATACCCCTATAACCTAGTCTGGACCTAAAAAGGGATACTGGGGAATCCCCCTTCCTCACTTACAAACTAGACCACACACACATACCCCTATAACCCTGTCTGGACCTAAATAGGGGTACTGGGAAATCTTCACCTGATAATAGAACAGAAATCCAGTTAAAGCACTACTTTATCTCTTTTGTATTACTTTGTTTATCCTTCGTTCACAATTCCACGTATCAATGCAGAGAAAAAGGTAAACCAAGAAAACTTCTAAGGAAAAAATCTGAAAATCTGCCAGGATACCATCGTGAACCGCTTTCTTCTGATTCAAAGTGAAAATCCTTGTTTCTAATGATATGTCGATACAGTTTAGATAACGTCTTTTTGATTTGAGTAAAATTTTGAGATTAGAACAGAAAGCAATACGGCATTGGGTTGATAAATGGTAGGTAACACCAGGGGGCGCTGATAAACTTCAGACACAACCAAGGGCAGATAATCATTGTCACTTTAAGGTTTATCAGAGGGGGAATTGCCTTGGTTGGGTATGGCAGATGTCCAAATGCTCTGTTAACCAAGACTATGAGTGTTGTGTAACAGCACTGTACAGACCATTAACCAAGAGTTTATGCCTGACACACACTGCCGTGAATGGCCAGTGCTGTAAAACATCTACCCTTGTTTGTACCTTCCATGAATCGTGCCAAACAAGTGGTTATATGTACCGGGGAATACCAGAGATTTATCTCTAGGTGTAGCTGTTGCTTGAAATCAATATCTCAAACTAAATTCTATCAACGATATACTGTACCAATCCTGGTCAGACAAATTTCTTGAATTTATTTTTATATAGATCGGCGCAATTGATATTGTTTCAAAAATGAGTTTATTAACTTGAACGTGAAGAATATAAGAGTTCAAAAGACAGGTGACAGGAAAACACAGGAAAGTAAAACTTACCTCGCTGATGAAAACATCTGTCATGCCTTCCTCCACCGAACCATAACACAACGTCAGGCCAAGTTTCTCGTTGATCGGGGATCGATGTAATATGACCTCCTACAAAAAAGAGTTCCCAAGTTTTGGTAAACATGTAGAAGTGGAAATTTATGCTTAATTAGCAATTTTTATGGCCATATTTACATGTAGCTCTTGATGTTTTTATGAGAGATTTAGCAGCCAAATGAACCTGTACTTATGTAAGTAGTAAACGCCACAAGTAGGATTAGAGTATAGATATTCTACCACTTGTTGATATCAACTCAACAAGTCTGTAAAAGCCTGCAGCCATTCAACCACTTCAGTTTCACTCAATTAACTCGAGGTTTTTTACCCATTGGAATTGGCAACAAAATAACTAATGAAGCAAAATGAAACACCCTTCTGACATATTTCATGGAGTGCTCCATAGAACAACAAAGAAATAGTTCTTTCACATTTCTCTGACCATATTGTGACAGCTCTTGATTACTAATCCTGCAATGGCGACATGTAATTTTTAGCTGTTTATATTTGTCCTGTTAATAGTGTTATCTCCTCCACAACAAGCTTTTGTCTGATACAGTCAACTGCCTTGTTGGTCTGATGCTTGAAAACTCATCATTCTACACTATATAGAGTTGGAGATGTGAAACGACGCGAACAGAATGGACAATGGCCAGGAAACCAAAAATTGAGGAACAATTTTACATCCCCATCATCATCAGACTTTTCTCTCTCCTAAGTGTTACACAGGTATGCTATTACACAGGTGTGACATAACACAGGTTGACATTACACAGGTATGCCATAACACAGGTATGACATTACACAGGTATGACATAACACAGGTATGACATTACACAGGTATGACATAACACAGGTATGACATTACACAGGTATGACATAACACAGGTTTGACATTACACAGGTATGACATAACACAGGTATGACATTACACATGTATGACATTGACATTACACATGTATGACATTACACAGGTATGACATAATACAGGTATACATTACACAGGTATGACATTACACAGGTATGACATAACACAGGTATGACATTACACAGGTATGACATAACACAGGTATGACATAACACAGGTGTGACATAACACAGGTATGACATTACACAAGTATGACATTACAGATATTAAAAGCTACATTGCAGCTAGGACTTCACACACACAATTATGATACCATAATTAATCGCATATTTCTTTTGTTGTTTTCTAATTTTGACAATACAATACAACAAGTATCATATTTCTGTTTTTGCACTGAATAAATGTGACAGGTCTTTGACATTGGCTTGTTAATGACAGTCTTCTTCACTTTGATTAGATAATGGATGAATATCAGAAGTCAGGACAACAGGGACTCTGAGTCGACAACCCCTTCACACAAATCGTAAATATTTACTGAAAGGCCTTCACATTGTTTACTTAGATCTTCAGTATTAATTGAAAAAACAGCCTATGCTTAAAGCACATATGTTAGTCTATGAAATGAAACCTGCTCCTTTTTATTGTACATCCCATCATTATGCATTTTTGGCTACTTACATCTGACTGAATTTGAGTTATTTCACCTAAAACCTAGTGAATAGGAGACCAGATTAGGTTTTTATTAAAACCTGTGACAATAGGGTCCAGCCTCAGCCATCCAGTTAATTGGTCGAGTATAAAACTATTAAGTACCTGATAAAGAGGTTCTTCTGTACTCTGTAGTTGTCTTTGTCCACAGAGCAAACATTAGCGTGTGAACCCTACACCACTGTAAATAATGGTGTAGTGTTTTCTCCTTCCGATATATTTACAAATGACACGTTTGTGGGGTAGATCACAAAGGGGAAACAAACAGTGATTAGACATGGAGCTAGCGTTTAAATGTTCCGAGTATCTATTAATCACCTTCCTACAGTTAACACACCTCTCACATACTTCAGTACACATTAACAACACATTCACATAAAAAGCAGGTAAATCGGCAAAAGACTTTGATTTCGAGACTCCAATCAATGTCTAAAGATATCTTGCACAAATCAATGGCAGAAACTTCTGTCAAGTGAATAGACTTTTCTCTGTCATTAGTGATTTGTCAATGGGAAAACATGAAGGTCAATGTAAAGTATAAAGAGAACAGATGGTCGACTTGGGTCAGGATCAGGACCAATTAAGGCCTACCTGTTACTGCTACCAATCAAAGGGTACCTGTTACTACTACCATTAAAGGGTACCTGTTACTACTACCATTAAAGGGTACCTGTTGCTACTACCAATTAAAGGGTAACTCTTACTACTACCAATTAAAGGGTACCTCTTACTACCACCAATTAAAGGGTACCTGTTACTACTACCATTAAAGGGTACCTGTTACTACTACCATTAAAGGATACCTATTACTACCACCAATTAAAGGATACCTATTACTACCACCAATTAAAGGGTACCTATTACTACCACCAATTAAAGGTTACTTCATTCTACTTTTAATTATGGTCTATCTGTTACTGCTACATTTGTGGTTACTGCTACAATATGCATAAATAAAAGACGCTTTCCAAAGATGCGAGATTGGGAATAAAGGGCAAACATGAGGTCACATCCATATTAATAAGACTTGTGTGTGAGGGGGATATGCCAATAAACATGATGAATCAAGTCTGCCATTGGTTAGATAATGTGATATCAGGTAGTCCCTCAAGATTTCATCTTTCTGTCTGAGTCCTGTTCCATCTATGATAAATAGTTTCATGGCAGAAATCTGCCAATCGATCATTGATTGTACAGATAGGATGTACAAAGCAGGACAATGCTATAATGCTGTGTGTCGATAGCTGCTATAGTAGGTATTGAGTCATTGATAGAGATCATACGACACCGTGGGGAGGTACTTATACACTGGCACACAATTAATGTCCCATTGTAAGTATACGCGTGACACAAGTCACACTTGCCCGCTTCATAAATGACTATTTGCTCCATAATGTTTTGCCTCTGATAAGTTTTTGTCGTCTTTTCTCTATCTCTAACCCATCAGATACCTGAAGGAGAGAAAGCATGCTCAGTGTATTGTTCCGCATAAAGTCCATTTTCATTTTCACACAGACTGAGAGACTGCCTCAGAAACAGCCTCCCACCCTCTACTTCCTTCTCGGCTCCGTATTGAAGAGCGGACATGAAACCTTTCAATTTTGTGGCTACAGTAACAATTCTGTCCTCATGCATCCCGCTGGTATTAGTTAATACTGTGTTGCATTGCAGGAAGTTCAGCCATTCAGTACACACATTTTCATATTACGATTTGCAGTACCCTCACGCTGACATTCAAATGTGTGAGCTTAAAAGCCAGATAATTAATTAAAATGAACTCTACGTTGCTTAAAACTCAATATTTGAGAGCACAAAACATCTTTTCACAAGCAACAACAGCCTTGCATACAAACATTGCAGGTAGCCCTGTCAATGCAATGAGGTGCAAAGAATTCACATTAAAACCAATGTGATGCACAAAGAATTTCAGTCGGCACTGATTGAAGTAGGGAGTTAATAAAATCTGATTTACATGCCTGCTCAAGATTTTTTAAATGTTTGTCGCGACAGTCATGCCAACCTTTCTACAAACAGGTGATAATTTTCCTGACATCTATAAATGGTTTAATTGATAATAAAACATGAATGATTCACCTTGTCTTACACTTTACACAATATTGGTGCAAGAAACAAAATTTTATTTTGACAAATGTTGTTCTAGTTCAAATGAAAGTGTTTGGGACACTTTCAATTTGTTATAAATGATGAGAAGATCTAAGATATTTACCAAACTTCAAACACATAAATCAGACATTTAATGTACAAAACATCAAACATGTGTGAAGTTAAGATAGAAAAGGAAGGAAGTGCATAGATTAATTGGTAGACATTTTGTTGAGTCTATCGGTAGGCTGTCAGACATAAACTTTCAACTTTAGTTTAAAGACATGCACCCAACAAGCCTTTGGTCATAACCAACTTCGCCACTTTATAATCAACTATTTCTTCCATAATTATCTGCATCTGATCAGTTTGTGTCCTCCTCAAGTGTAAATAACTGTATACAGATTGATATAGGGACTTAAGCGAGACTTGACTTCCTGTGTGAGCCTACCTATCAGGCACTGCCCACGGACAATCTGTTCTGTTATGTGATACATACAAGTCATCATTTCATTGACATTAATGCCAAAAACGATTTCTTTCTCCTATTACAATCTACATCACCCCAGCATCAAAGGCTAACTAAATTAAATCCGCTAACCTTGGCATACATATTTAATACGGTAACTTAATTACCGACTCTGGGCTAGCTCAGACCACAATAGTCACATAATAATGGGCAGTAAAAAGCATTTCATGATTCACCTTAAACTGTACTCATACACACTGCACTGCCAATAAAACACTGCTTCAGACCACGCAGAAAAAACCTCCGTATGTATACAGCAGATGGTTCATCAACAAGATGATTATTTCAAATTCTGGTCCAAATAAATATTAAAAATATTGAAGGGTTCTTGATTTAGACACTAAGTACCTTGAGAGAACATGAGGAAACAGCATTAATGGATATTAGATAAGTTGTATAGATAAGTTGTATAGATATGTTGTACGTTGTGAAGTATTTCAGTAACTCTGAGAGACAACAACCTGTTAGACCTGTAGGTAGTGTTTCCAGTGTCCCTGGCCCACACTGCTAGGGAGGAGCAATATGGTAGTGGGTTAATGAACATCTGTTAGAAACCTTGTGTAACTGTCATAACTCACCTACAAATACATCAGACAACAATAGGTCACTGCAGCAGGTCAGAGTTCACACAGATCAGACCTGATTGGTTCATATAATAACAGCTGCTGAACTAAATCTCATTACCAGAATCATGAACAAAGGAATATCTCATTCTTATTGTTTCCTTAATTAACAAATGTATCCCCTAAATCTATCGGAGATGCTGAAGAGTGTACAAGAGACAACCTTACCAAGTGTTGAAACACTGCCAATCAAAGTCCATCTTCTATTTCTAGTAATCAGGTC